AATACGGGAGTAGAGGGAATTGTTTGTGCATCTTGATTAAAAAATAAACTAAGCAGGCAATTAAATTGCATATAGGATATTTTAGAGACTGACAGCTTCTCATTAAAATTGATTTTAGGATAATTTCGTACACTGACATGAAGTCTATCAGATTGTAGTTTTGGTTTTTTAGCTCAGACAACCCAACACTTTCTTCACTCTTGAAAAAGGACGTAGATTACAAGTTGGTGCTTTTAATAACCAATGATTTTTTCCTTTGCTCATCTCTCTTCACCTTTTTTTTCCTTTGTGAAAGCAGGGATAGAATTTGAAAAGTGATGGGACTGAGAATCCTTGAGCACTAAGAGTTTGGTTTCTTGAGGTTCCTTAAGGAGGTTCGGGGGAGACTGAGAAAAAAGGCAATGTGGAAAATGGTTCAAAGACAAGAATGAGAGGTAATAGATTCTCTCCTTGAGGAAATGCTAGTCAGACTCTAAATTTTCTTCTCAACTACACCCTGACTTTTGGGCTTCTGTGTTTGTCTCTGCATTGCTCAATTTTAGCAAGAAGCTTTCCAAGTCAGTTTAACCAGAGTCCTCCACTCACGATACTTAGTTGGGTTCCTTATTCCCCACAATCCCCTGGTGATGTCTGATCACTGTAGCATGCCTTTAGCAAGAAACCTAGTCAGTTGGCTTAGCCTAAATCTCCCCTAATTCTTGATGTTTTTTCTTAGTGATTTTTTATCCAATGACCCTCACCCTTCTTCTTGTCTATGAATTTCCACTCTTCTTGTTCTATTTGGAGTTGAGCTCAATTTCTCTCTCCAACTGCAATGCCTCATTGCAGTGGTCTCTATACCTATATATATAGTACCCAGTGGATAAAGTTTTCCTTTCTTTAACAAATAAATGAATAATCTTGTTCGATAACAGTTATGATTCTGTGACTCAGATAGGATTAGATTCATTATTAGGCTCTTGAATCTCTCACCTAAGTGAGAAGGCTTTGAAGACTTTGTCTTCACTCCCGACTGATTGTTGGGGATCCATTGGTGAGACAGACTCTGGAACCATTGCTCTGGACAAATATATGCTGAAGCTGGTAAGGACAGATTTTGATTCTTGAGATTCTGATATACTCTCTAAAGCTGGGTTAGAGTCCCAGGCTTCTTATTTTTTTTTCTTTTTTTTGAAATGAAGTTTGGCTCTTGTTGCCCAGACAGGAGTGCAATGGTACCATCTTGGCTCACTGCAACCTCCGCCTCACAGGTTCAAGCAATTCTCCTGCCTAAGATTCCCAAGTAGCTGTGATTATAGGCATGCGTCACCATACCCAGCTAATTTTGTATTTTTAGTAGAGACACCATGTTGGACAGGCTGGTGTTGAACTCCTGACCTCAGGTGATCTGCCTGCCCAAATCCCAAAGTGCTGATATTATAGGCGTGAGCCACCATGCCTGGGCTGGCTTCTTTTGAAAGGTATCTCTTGAATTGAAAGGTCTTCTTTCTTTCTCTGTTTTGAGTGGGAATTATTCCTTGACTCTCTGGGCTGGAAGTTTTTCTTTCTGGTTCTCTGTTTTGAGTGGCGATTACTCCCTGACTACTGGGCTGGAAATTTTTTCCTGGCTCTTTGTGAGGCCTTCTTGCTCTCTGTATTTAACCCTGGTTCTTCTATGAGAACTTCTCAGCTGACCAAAACCCCTCTTCTTGACCTCCTGCTGTTACGATGCTATACCAGATCTGTTACCTGCTTGTTGTTGGCATGATTTTGTTGAAGATGATTTGGAACTTCCCTCTTTAGGAAACATAAGGTCTCCGCAGATGAGCTCCTCTAAGACCTCTCTCTTTTCATTACCTTCGCTCCTCCTTCTTTTGGTTTTCCCACCAGCTCCTGCTATCTTCCCTCCAGTTCACTTGCACTCTTTGATGTGCTCCCTTCAGCTCCCTACCTCCTCCATCTCTCTGTCTACCCCTGCCAGACCTTTTCCTTCTCACTCTGGGGCATGCATCACTTACACTTAAGGTCTCTTGTCATTATCAGGGGCTTCCAAGGGACTCAGGATCCCCTAAATCCAATGTCCTGAGGCTGAAACGACAAGGCTAATTGGAAATAGATGAAATATTTTAATTACTCAGGTGGGCTTTGGAGACACTCAGAAAACTGCTAGATATCTTCTCAGTGTAGAAGGTGGTCTACAGCCTCCATAAGATACACATCAGGGGAAAAGAAAATCCTAAAAGTCTTCTGATTCATGGTTGTTAACAAGAAATTCAAACAGGTTTTTCCCCCCTTTGAGTAATCTGCCTGTGAAACTAAGATCTTGTGTCTTATCAGAGCATTTTTTTTTTGTGCTTTATGTTGACATTTATTATGTCCTTGATTACTGAAAATAAGGTAAGTATTGTTTTACAGTGATCTGTAATCCTGTTTAATCAAGTGTTCAAACGGTCAGAAGTTTTTGACCATCTCCAAACATTAAATTCTCAATGAAATGTTCTTGTTCTTGAGATGACTTTGAGATTTCCTAGAGGGCCCCTGCAAATTTTAAAGGATTTGTTCTTTCATCTTGTAAAAAGAGACATGTTAAATGAATTAGGTTAATTTGACATGTTAAATATATAAGCAGAATGGGAGAAAGTTATTTGCAGACTATTTATCTGAGGGGTTAATGTCCAAAATGTGTAAGAAACTCCTGCAACTTAATAGCAAAAAGACAAATGTATTAGACTGTTCTTGCATTGCTATAAGGAAATACCTGAGACTGGATAATTTATAAAGAAAAGAGGTATAATTGGCTTATGGTTCTGTAGGATGTACAGGAAGCATAGCAGCTTCTGTTTCTGGGGAGACCTCAGGAAACTTCCGATCATGGCAGAAGGTGAAGGGGGAACAGGCATCACACATGGTGGGAGCAGGAGCAACATAGGGAGTCAGGGGGTAGGTGCCACACACTTGTAAATGGCCAGATCTCACAAGAACTCACTATCGCGAAGGTAGCATTAAGCTATCTGCTCCCATGACCCAAACACCTCCCACCCTGCCCTACCTCCAGCATTGGGGATTATAATTCAACATGAGATTTGGGTGGAGACAAGTATCCAAACGATGTTGACAAATAACTAGACAAAGGAATTAAATAGACATTTCTCTAAAGAAGACATAAATGGCCAACAAAGAATGTGAAAAAATGCTCAGTGTCAATAATCATAAGGGAAATGCAAATGAAAATTACAATGCAATATTACCTCACACATGTTAGGATGGTAACTATAAAAGCAAAGCAAAACAAAACAAATGATGACACGTGTTGCAGGGATGTAGAGAAAACAAGCGAAAAACAGCCCCATTAAAAAATGGGTGAAAGACATGAACTTCTCCAAAGAAATCATACAAGCAGCCATCAAACATATTTAAAAAGATGCCATGCCTCATGAATCATCAGAGAAATGCAAACCATATCCACAAGGAGACAACACCTCCCACCAGTCTGAATGGCTACTATTAAAAAGTCATAAAACAACAGTTGCTGGCAAGGCTGCAGAAAAAAGGGAATGCTTATGCACTATTGGTGGGAATGTAAATTAGTTCAGCCACTATGGAAAGCAGTTGGAAGATTTCTCAAAGAACTTACAACTACCATTCAACGCAGCACTCCCATTACTGAGTAATATCGGAGAGCACTTAGTTGTGTGTCCCCACCCGAATCGCATGTTGAAATCTCATCCACAGTGTTGGAGGTGAGGCTTGGTGAGAGGTGTTTTCATCACAGGGGCAGGTCCTTCATGAATGGCTTGGACCATCCTCTTGTTGATAAGTGGCCTCTGCCTCTGAGTTCACACCATTTAAAAGTGTGTGACGCCTCCCCCAGCCCCTTTCTCTCTTGCTCCTACTTTTACCACGTGAAGTATCTGCTCCTGCTTCACCTTCTGCCATCAGTAAAAGCTTCCTGAGGACTTCCCAGAAGCAGATGCTGGTGCCATGCTTCCTGTAGAGCCTGCAAAACTCTCAACCAATTAAACCACTTTTCCAATAAAGTACTCAGTCTCAGATATTTCTTTATAGCAATGCAAGAATGGCCTATTACAATATTCTAAAGAAAACAAAGTGTTTTACCTACATGTTCATCTCAGCACTATTCACAATAGCAAAGACAAGGTATCAACTCAGGTGCCCATCAGTGTTGTATTGAATAAAGAAAATATGGTACACATACACCATGGAATACTATGTAGGCATAAAGAAAAACAGAATAATGTCCTTTCTAGGAACATGGATGCAGCTGGAAGCTATTATCCTAAGTAACACAAGAACAGAAAAACAAATGCCGCATATTTTCACTTAAAACTGGGAGCTAAACATTGAGTACTCATGGACATACAGATGTCAATAATAGACACTGGGGACTATTGTAGCAGGAAATGAGAGGGGGCAAGGGTTGAAAAACTAACTATTGGGTATGATGCTCAGTACCTGGGTGACAGGATCATTCATTCGTACTCCAAACCTCAACATCACATAATGTACCCAGGTAACAAAGCCACACATATACCCACTGACTCGAACATAAAAGTTGAAAAAATGTGCAGTTTTAATTGTACATCAATTATACCTCAATGAAGTTGTTTTAAAAATTTTATGGAAAGGCATGTCAAATAAGAGATGTTGCTTTTCTGCAAATACATAAAAGAAAAGATGCTTTTTCTTTTCCTAGATTATATTTGTATGGGTGAATATTACGTATGTAGGCATTATATTCATTGTAATAAGATTGTATGAAGGTCATAGAAAATTGCCAGTATCTTGTTGTGTGGTTTTTATTTTTGTTGTATGTCACAGAAATAACCAAATTTTCTTGTCATGTGAAAGCTCATCAGATATTTAGAAACAGAAATGTTTATGAAACTGTGAACCACAAATCAAGCAGATAAAAATTAATTACATGGAACTGAATGAACTGACAAAGAGTGACTGTGGTTTTGTTTGGAATATTGCTGGTAATTTAATGTTTTATTTTCCAGATTTAAGGAATCCTGTTCCTCTTTTCTCTTAAGCTATCCGTAACTTACAGCAATTTGGTAAAGTATATCTTTGTGAACAGAGATGAAACATTTATTGTTTTTCCCTATCTGGTCTTTCCAAAATTTGTAAACTATTATTAAGTATTCTTATCATCCTGACAATATAATTATTTGCATAAGTTCGATAAGAATCTGTTCTCCTTGTAACAGAATAGAATTGGAAAAATTAATTGTTTTACTAAGGCTTTGACTGGAATGTCATATCAGAAAATGGTGTGCATAGAAGCTGACTTTAAGAAACAACAGCAGATTTTATGGGGTCGATGCTTACAAAGCCCTCTTGGGAAACCTGGCCTGGTACCTCGCTCATAGCATTCCCAGTTTTACATCTACGTAAGGAGATCACTTTTTGGCAGGCTCAGGAACCTCAGGATATTGTGGGAATCTCAAGAAAAGAGGAATTCTCTGAAATCTGTGGTTACCACAAGAAAAATCTGGTGGTGAGTTCTTGGCTTGGCTTCCTGGGCTCAAGGGGCTTTGAAAAAATCTAATCTAAAATTCCTTATTAAAGGTCTACTTGGTCAATGACTCTTGTTGCACTTATGTAAATAATCAGGCTTAATCTAATGAGATTAGATTCATTTTGTAAACGAGGTCCAAAGGAGGGTGATTGTAGAAATTTTGTTTCCATGGAAAATTATCATGCACCCTTGTGGGCATTAGATTATAATCCTGTTCATTTGAGTGATTTTTTGCCTCTTTGTAAACTTCATTTTCTCCCTTGTTATCCATGTATAAACTGGACTATATCCTGAATTATTCTAGTTTCTTCCATATCTGGTTACAATTCTCCAAACTAATGTTTCCATTTTTTTCCCACTCTCCTGACTTGGCGTCGTTGATAACTAAAACTGCTCTTTTCCTGAAGCATTACAAGCTGAGGCTAGATGAGTTATCATAAACTACCAAAAAAATCACAGCAGATCATGTACTGACAACCTCCATGCCTGCTGCTGTGTGGGCCACTCAGGCAGTTCACCCAAACACCCAATGCCATCACCAAAGACATCCCAGTTGCAAGCCAGGATATTTGTCAGATGACCACTGCTGTCCTCCTTCTACCACCTGAAGAGACTTGGAGCACAACATTTTAAAATCTTTTTGACTGGCTGCTTTTAGGACTCAAAAGCTGGCATGACTAATAATCTTTGTTTTTATTTTGTTTCCACAGAAATTTTCCTCATTAAATGCCTGAATGCTTGCACCATACAGCAAATATCCACTGCTATTAGGTCCCAACAGGTGACTCAGCTGGCTGTTAATGAACAGTTTGGTCAAAGGTGAGAAAACAGACTTATATTCTTTGTTTTTCCTTGAACAAGTGCAGGGACTGACAAAGATCCTTTCCTTGATGAAACTCTAAGTAGACTCTTTCAAACTCTCTTCTCAAGCCTTGAGTTTTGGGCTTCTGTGTTCATCTTTGCATCCTTTGTCCAATTTTAGCAAGAACCCTGCTAACTTAGTTTAGCCGGTATTACCTGTCCATGATACTTGATCACCCTAGATACCTGATAGAGTTTTCCTCCACCATCCCCCAGGTGATGTCTGATCACCCTGGCCTGTCTTCAGTAAGAAGCCTGTTAAGTTGGTTTACCCTGAATACCCCTTACCCTATTGTTTCCTCTTAGTGACTTTTCATCCAATGATGCCCACCCTGGTCCTTGTCTTTACATTCCCACTTCTCCTTATTGTCTGAGAAGATGAGCTCATTCTCTTTCTCTCACTGCAGAGGTCCCTACTTGTATTGCAATAGTCTCCTCAAACAAAGTCAGCCTTGCAGTTCTTTAGCAAGTGCCATTGAATAATTGATTCTTTAACAAAGAACATTAACATTTGATCCAACCAGGACTTTAGAAAATGTTACTGTACTGACATTGTGAAATGCTGGAAAAGGAAATTAATATTAAAATACAAATTGTTTTTAGAAGGGACTTTGCCAACCTTTTGTGTGGCTGATTATATAAATGTCACAGTTGGTTCAGTTGAGTTCCCTGATGGATTTTGTTATTGCCAAGCATGAGCTTGGAGATGAGTTTGGAACTAGGGGCTGGTGATATTGAATTAATCTGCATTATACAAAATGAACAGAATGGTAATTCCAGAGGAAATTTTAGCTAAGAAGGACAGCAAAACTTGGAGAAAACCAGTCCCTCGGAAGTAACTTAATGGATGAAAAACTTCGTATCTTAGTTACAATAATGTTACCATTACGCAGTTGTACGTACCTGATGTACCTAACAAGGCTGTATTTGGGATGATTTCCTGGTTGATTAAAAGCAGCGTTTCTAAAGGTAGTCAAGTGGGGGGAAAAAGAAAAAGCAAAAACTCACTTAAAAGAAGATACACAACAGTATTGGCCTGAAACAAGTTGGATCTAGCCATACCCAGGGGGTTCCGTATCTGCAACATTAAAATCTATGTACTCAGTTTTACTTTGAGGGCAAGATCATGAAAATTAATTATTATTATTCTAATGGAAAGTTGTGTTTTATAATTCCCCAGTTGAACCACCACTAAATTATGTGGTAAGAATGAGTGGGTGGGGAAACACAACTGGACAAACTGCTGTCAGGTCTGCCTACTTCTGCACATAGTTGTAATTTGTTCCAGGATTGAAGAGGAAAACAGCATTCTTTTCATTCAGATGTACATTTGTTCTACCATTGACTATGCTGTGACTTGGCCCAGAAAGTTGGTCCCTCCTTTATCATTGTAGATTAGATTTGTATCTATTAAAAATTTTATTGTGCTTACAGAACAGAAAAAAAACTCATAGAATTCACATTCTCAACTTCCCTTCAAGATATTTGTGTGAAACTTACATTGAATAAACTTATGTTAATTCCTTTGACTGCAAAGCTTTTGATCTTCTCAATTGGAGATGTGAAGCACTTTACTATATGCTTCCTTTCTATGTAATAAATAAATACTCAGTTGTTGAAATCTACATATGTGGCTTCTTAAATATTCCCATGTGTTCTGTCTTTTCTAATGAATATATAATCATTTATTAGACATCTACTACACGCTGGGCACCGTTTGAGTGTCAATGGCACAACAGAATCATTGTGTCCAAGAGACGATGTAGGAGATAGTAAGAGGTGGAGGGCATTTTCAGTTGGACGCTTGTCTTTTTTCTTGCTTTGTGTGGTGTTATATGTCTGCTGGCCAGGCAGAGGGTGCTTAGATATTGTTGGATTACCAAATGATTGTCCATACATTTGCCCTCATTTTAGGAATTGATTCCTTTCTTACCTCTAATGGATTTTTCATCTATTCCCTTTGCCTATAAACCTCTTGCAATGATGAACTACAGAAAAAGCAGAAGGCCTTAATATGCTATCTAATCTAATATTACATAAAATCTGATCCAACTTTCCCATTACTGTTATTACTGTCTTCTTGCAACACAAGACTTTCCTTATTGAACTGTAATAATAATTATTATTTTTTATCTTGTCCCAGAACACTATGGACTACTTATTAACCTAGACCTGTGGTTCCTAAACTATGGCATCACAGTGAATTTTGTAGGAGCATTTCAGAGAATTTCAAAAGACTGAGGGAAACACAATAATGTTTGTCAGACACTGTAAACTATTAGCTTAAGGTAATTCACAGTTTCAATGTTAGATTTCACTACATTCCTTTTGATAATGTCATATCTTTGGGAAGCTGAGTTTTCCGAACTTGCTGAATAATTTGGAATCTGGATGAATAATTTCTCTATTTTATCTGATGCTTTTTCTATTTTTTAAAAGTGTTTTTCCTCTTTCACCATATTTTCCATTTATTTGGAGAACCACATGGAAACAGACTAAATGTGAGTTTGAGGAAGCCCTGAAGCCAGTTTCAAGTGTATGATGACATCTCTCTGGTGGTCAGGTGGACCTGATTTTTTCTATATTCCATTTCACAGTGATTATTTTTCTTCCTGTATCTTAGCCACAATTTTTAAAATGGTTTCTTATTTCTGTTTCACAGTCATTTTCAATAGTAAGTCTCTTGTTACATATGTTATTGTTTGAATACCAGTTGGTAGCTTTTAAAATAAAAAAAGAAAGTAATAACAGTTTATACTTCTGTGTGAAGAAAAGTGCTTTGTTCCTTTATACTTGGTTTGTATTTGAAAATATTAATGAGTCCTCTGCTATCAATGTAAAAAACATATTTAAATCAAAATAATGAAGTGAAGCATATTAAGTTCCCAGATACCAAAGTATGTTTACTGTGTCTGAATATTTACAAACAAATAATTTTACTTGGCAGTAGAAATATAAGCAAGACTGAACTTCATAATTTAATAATCTTTTTTCTTATTATGAATATTGATTTCTTCAGTTATTATATACACATAATGAGGGTTCTATCTAGTAAGTCTTACCTATTATTTTCTTAAAACAATAATTTCAAAAAAACAACCTCTATCTTTCTTCTTGCTATTTTGGAAAATATAATTGACAACTAAAAGGGTATAATAGACCAAAAGAGCTATGTCCAGTAAAAACATATTCCCAGAAAACAATATGTGGAAATATAATTTATGACACTATTTAAAAATATATATCAATCTTAGTATAAACTCTGAACTTAGTTAGAAGATATATAAAAATGTGATCACTGAAATTCATAGGTCATATGAATGCCAAGCAAAATGGTCATAGCCAAGCAGAATGATTTTCCCACAGGCATTACTTTCTTTGTTAAAAAATGCTTACATAAAAGAATTTTAAGATTTGGCCGTTTTCTGATTAGAAATATAAATTAGGGAAGCTACACAATAAGTTTGCGTTGACTCATAGGTTGAGAAACAACTTTCATAAATTATCGAGATATTTTTCCCACCTCTACTTAGGAATGTTGTAAACTGATTTAGACAGATAACTTTCATATAGCTCCATTGAGAAAGGTAACCTTACAGTCTATCACCTATCCCAGTGTTCAGAGGTTGATGCTAGGCAAGTTAATGAAACATGCGCATTTTCCCAACACATTCTTTCATCTCCCCATTTGTGTGTCTCTTTTAGAACCCTTGCACCTTGCCTTTCAGTTTCTTGGTAGTGCTTGAATGGAGGAAAGGAGTCATACTGGGGAGATAGAGCCAAGGGTTGCAAGTCCTGTCTAAATCTCTTACTGTACAAACTTTGCCATATCATCTTTACTCTTTGAGCCTCCTCGAGCTTCACCATATAATGATGGTAATAATGTGTACCTTTTAGGATTGAGATAAATGCACAAAAAGTCAGTTTTCCCTCAGATGGGCCTTGAGGTGGGTTAAAATTATACCTCCTTTCTTAACTTCCTTTCTGCCCACACCCAAAACTTATTGAAATTGCCAACCCAGTCCATTCCAAGATGGCCAAACAGGAGCTACAGATGGTCTGTAGCTGTACAGATTCATCTCATTGGGACTGGTTGGACAGTGGGTGCAGCCCACAGAGGGCGAGCTGAAGCAGGGCAGGGCATTACCTCACCCGGGAAGCACAAGGGGTCAGGGGATTTCCCTTTCCTAGCCAAGGGAAGCCATGACAGATGGTAGCTGGAAAATTGGGACACTCTCACCCAAATACTGCACTTTTCCAATGGCCTTAGCAAATGGCACACCAGGAGATTATATCCTGCACCTGGCTGGGTGGGTCCCATGCCCATGGAGCCTTGCTCACTGCTAGTGCAGCAGTCCGAGATCGAACTGCGAGGTGGCAGCCTGGTAGGCGGAGGAGCATCTGCCATTGCTGAGGCTTGAGTAGGTAAACAAAGCAGCCAGGAAGCTTGAACTGGATGGAGCCCACTGCAGCTCAACAGGGCCTGCTGTCTCTGTAGACTGCACCTCTGGTGGCAGGGTATAGCTGAACAAAAGGCAGCAGAAAACTTCTGCAGACTTAAATGGAACTGTCTGACAGCTCTGAAGAGAGCAGTGGTTCTCATAGCATGGTGTTTGAACTCTGAGAACGGACAAACTGTGTCCTCAAGTTAGTCCCTGATCCCTGTGTAGCCTAACTGGGAGAAACCTCCCAGTAGGGGCCAACTGATGCCTCATACAGGCAGGTGCCTCTCTGGGATGAAACTTCCAGAGGAAGGATCAGGCAGCAATATTTTCACTTCTGCAGCCTCCACTGGTGATACCCAGCAAACAGGGTCTGGAGTGGACCTCCAGCAAACTCCAACAACCTGCAGCTGAGGGACCTCACTGTTAAAAGAAAACCAACAAAGAGAAAGGAATAGCATCAACATCAACAAAAAAGACATCTACACCAAAACCCCATCTGTAGGTCACCATCAC